GACTAAATTTACTGTAGATTTAGTCGACTAAAATTGTATGATATTTAGTCGACTAAAACTAGACTAACACTAAAAACAATTCAGATGACTAAAATATGTCTAAAACTAAATGGCATTTTAGTCAAAAGACTACGACTAAAACTAAATCAAAATTTGCTGTCAAAATTAACACTGATCCACATGAGGTCATACAGTATACAATGTCAAAATGTTGAAGGTTTCTAAAAGCAGTGTGGAGACCATCACTGAAAAAAATGAAAGACATTTAAAACCCCAAAGACTGGTTATCCATCCAAAAAGAGTAATGAGGACCCTGGCCACTCCTGTTTACTAAACCTGTGCCAGAACCTAGTCTTAGCCAACTGGCACTTCCAGGACTTTGAGAAGACTATAGAAAAAGATTCCTAGATCTGATGAGAGGAACAGCTCTCTCTTTGGCTTGCAAAAATCGCTAAAACCATGAAGTCAAGCAGGTTCATGGAGCAGGAAGCTTTTTATGGGCTAGAACTGGGAGATCTGATCTAGGGGTGGCTCGATACCATTTTTTCAGAACCGATCCCGATCCAATACCAAAAATTCTGAATATCGGACGATACCGATCTGATACCAGCGCAGGTTTTTTTTTTAAAGGGGTCATATGATGCGATAAATGCCTCGATTGTAATGGGTTTTATTGTTTTTGTCTCGTCGCTCCGGCCGGGACACGGCATCACAGTATAGTAAGGGGCGTAACATTTCCATCACACGCTTGAGGTATTCAGCCAATCACAACGCACTGGATAGCTGGCCAATCAGCGTACACCTCGCTTTTCAGAACGATGAATGATGAGTCAAAGCCAAGATTTAAACCCCACAGAAAATGTGTTCAGAGACCTGAAGATTACAGTTCACAGATGATCCACAAAGCATCTGCATGGAGGACACAGGAATAACTGACCAAATCCAGTTCTGCAAATCCAGAAGATGCACAACCTACTTAGAGTAAGTCTCGCAGCTGTAATCACTGCCAAAGGCAGCTCTGCAAAAGATGAAAAAAGAACCTGAATATAGGAGGATTTTTTTTTTTTTTAAAGTGCACTTTTTATTTTCATGGATATTTTACACATAACAACTCTTTCTAATATCTAATGTTTTCTCAAATAGCAATGAGATAAACTGGAGAGCAAATGGAGACTTTAGGTTTTCCTCCCGAGAAAAAGTGTCCATTAATCTCATGTCTCTTTTCTATGGATCTCAACGTTGATTCAAAATGTCCCCAAATTTGTCAAGATACAAAGTCTACAACCAAACATCAGATCATCTCAATATGAGCTCAAATAATTCTCATAAAATCCTTCCAAGAGCAAATGATCTGAGTATTAGTTTGAATATTGAATGAATGAGGCATTTATATAGTGCTTTAATCATAATATATTATTTATTTTTAAAACGCTATATGCTCTAAATGTTGAATATAATGACAATAATTGTCTCATATGTGACAAAGTAGAACTATGTTTAAATAAAACAACTGAGACTATATATCCTGAGCTATGAAAGAGCAATAAAATTTTAATTGAGCAATAAAAAAATTGAGGTTTTCAAACTACCCCGCAAAGGAGTGTGCAGTAAATAAAATAAAAGGATGCATAATAATAATAATAATAATAATAATAGTAATCATCATCATCATCATTAATAGTAATAACAATAAATATATTGAATAAAACCAGTCAACATTTATCAAATCTTATATATTACACAAACTTTATTATATAAAAAATTATGCATTATAATTTAGGATGGGGGTCTCTTATAAGAGGACCATCATAGTTGGTTGTCCTTCAGATCAAAAAGTTTGAAAACCTCTGATCTAACAAAACACCAAAGACCCCTTCCCCCTGAAAAATGCATATATACCTTGTGCGAGACATTCATGATTTCTCAGAGTTCCTCATGCTCTCAGGAGGCGAATGTGGGCATATGAGAATAGAGATTGCAATCTGATATTGTTTATTTGGATTATAATGCTCCCAAAGATACTATCAGGATTTAGCGGGTGCGAGTTAGCATTTGAAAGCCGTGTGGCAGTGGGATGCGCCAGTGAAAATCTGCCATTTAACACATTCTCTCTGCTCTCATTCACCTCTCGTTATTAACATAGACACTTGGGCCCTGCTAAAGGACAGCGCTCGTTAACACTATGGCTTTCTGCTTTTAATGAGGCTCTGACACATCACATGCAACCAGAAGTCCACACTAATGCATGCATGGTCACCAATGCACACTCGTACAGCGCCGAGAGCGAGGATGAAAGATTCGAGGAGAAACACATTTCTGACAGGCAGAATGAGCCATTGATCTGATGCTCACTCATTCTACTGCAGTTACTCACTTCACAGGCATCAAATGCACCAAAGGAATCAACTAAACAGGCTGAGAAACATGCAACAAACCTTCTTATGACCAACCAATCAGCTCAACCAGGGCTAGACACATAGATTCACACAATATTCATCAATCAAAATGTTTTTCTTAAGATAATTTCTAGAATATTTGGTTATATTCTTGGAACACAAGATCAGCTCCATCTCAATCCAAATAATTAAACCTCAGACTGAAACCTGAACAAATGGGCAAGGACCATTCATAACCCAACAGAAATAAACCCACCCACAATTAGCTACTAATGACTAACCAGTTGCTGTTGGCCACTAGTAGATGTTTCTACTCAACTGTCATATTCATCTGTCAGGATCACGTGAAGTTCATTGTTTGCACATTTGCTCAGCGTATTTCCATTGGAGGTCACTGGCTAAAAAAGGAAGCAATGGCCAAAACACCACAGATATGCCACATTTGGTTGCCTTCAGCATGGTCAATGATTGCTTTCAAAACAGAGTCAATTAAATCATCATACATACACTTTAGGCATTTTGACATATGTACATTTTTGTAATTGCTGTAATTGTGCACAAGTGACACTTTTGTTAACCCAGCCATATTTGAGCTATAATTAAAGTGCAGAAATTGCATTTGAAATCGGGCTTAAATATATGTTAGAATGTAGAACCAACCAAGCTACAGCACTACTGGTAAATTTTGAGACGTTTTGAGATCCTCACAGCCATTGGCTGGCAGCTGCCTATTATTTGCATAAAGGTATAAAGCATAAAGCATTTTTGAGGCTCTCACATTATACTCCACACTGCTGCCAATCCCACAATCCCTGCTCAGCTCCAAGGGGTCAAGGTTTGGATAGTTAGCATGGCACTGTTAGCACCTGTCCTTTGACATCCATTCAAAATTAGCTGTGTATTCCAATGAAATACTTTTTTTTAGCAAGCAACATTTACTACAATTCAAAGGCTTATAGAGTCAGTAAGATTTTTTAGCAAGGATGCAATAAATTAAATCAAATGTGACAGTAAAGACATTTACACCACTAAAAATACTTCTAAATAAATGTGGTTCTTTTCTATTTAAAAAAACATGATTTCCACAAAAATATTAAGCAGGACAGCTGTTTAATAATAAGAGTGAATCATCATATTAGAATGATTTCTGAAGAATCATGTGACACTGAAGACTGGAGTAATGACGCTGAAAATTCAGCTTTGCATCACAGGAATAAATTACATTTTAAAATATATTGGAACAGAAAGCTGTTATTTTAAATTGAAATATTTTGTCATAATATTACTGTTGTTACTGCATTTTTTATCAAATAAATGCAGCCTTGGTGGTGACCATAAGAGACTTTGTTGAGGCACCAAACTTTTAAAAGCCAGTGTATATATCATACGTATAGTATATTTGTATTGGGAATGCTAATGGTTAGCTGTCGGCGGGTACAACAAGAACAAATAGGAAACAGATGCTCATCTCGTCCATTCATGCATCAAAATCGCCAATTTTCACCTAAATCGAATGACTTCCGGATGCTGCAAATCACACGTTTAAACACCGTCAACACGTCACAACTAACCTCAGGTTAAAAAAAAGAAATGAAAGCCATGCTCATATGCAATCAAAGTTCAAGCACGCCTCCAAATCCTGGCTTCAGTGTGTGCAATACTGAAAAAAAATGATTAAATTAAATATGCCACCTGCAACCGTAATAACACCTGTATCTGTCCAAAAGGAACAGGTGAGTTACTGCACTTCAACACGGCGCTCTCATATCCATCAGCACCATATGTCGCTCCAGAGGGCCCTGGGGACGCGGTACAATACACTGCAACCCAACTGACAAGTCTGACAGCCTCGCGACAGTCGGGAAAAAGTCCCTGTGAATTACAGTAAAGCTCCGATAACCCACCCGTCACTGTATCTACCTTTGATTTTCCGTCTTCTCTCCAAGTGCCCAGTTTTCAAAGTCCGCCGCAATCGCACTAATGAAGACGGGTTGCGTTCAAGAGCAAAAATAGCAAGGAGGATAAAAAAGGCACAAAAAGAAAGAGAACAATCAAGTGCATGCTTGAAAGAGATGAGAACAGGACAGGCAATAGAAGACAGAGAGAGAGAGAGAGAGTTTGGAGCGCTGACAGAACTCACCGTTTGCTGCAGGTCAGGGATGCCTACGCGGACGACCAGTGTGTTGCCCTGGGGTTCCTCCATGGGGCCGGCCGGCGCTCGGCAGACGTCGGCGTGCGGAGAGCGGGAGATGTCCCCCCGGCTGGTGCTGGAGAGGTGGCGGGGAAGAGGCTGCGCAGGGCGAGAGTAGATGAGGAGAGGGAGAGAGAGAGGCGAGAGAGGGAGAGAGGAGAGGGGGAGGGCAGAGGGGGGCTCAGACGGGAGTTCAGGCTGCTGCTGTGGACGATCTCTGGGCTGGGAAGGCTCATGTTTGCCCGAGCCCGCACTCACAGGCATGCTCTGTGTGTGTGGAGCTCTGACTGCATAGTGCCTCCCTCATGCACACACACACACACGAGGAGCTGCTGGCACACGCGCACACACACACCAGCGCAGGGAGAGCGAGAGAGAGAGAGAGAGAGAGACAGGGGAGGGGAGAGATGCAAGAGAGGATTAGAGAGAGAGAAAGAGAGAGGTTAGATGTGTGCTGTGATTAAGCATTTCAAGCATCAAACCTGTGGCTATAATGCCAATTTTAACACATTTATCAATGACCAATACAACAGATTACAACATCAGCATTAAATGATGCAAAATAATTCACAAAATAATTCTAATGATCTGATATTGGTTATTTATTATTGCAACAGCTCTCTTGTTTCTGTTAAACTAATATTTCGTTTCTATAAAAGACCTCTGGTGCAAGTAACCAATATTCAACACTGCTGCACTAGTTTAATGTCCCTATACACTCTCTTCACAAATAATAAAATTCAAATCCAAACAATTTTATGTCCATTTATTTATTTATTTAATTGAGAAATGGCCATATAAGTTATCGCAAAATATACTGCTGCATGGCTTATGTTTATGCCGTACATCTACAAGAAGTTCACCAAGCCTGCATTTACAGTATTTGATTAAAACCGTAATATTACGAAATATTATTACAAATTAAAAATGTAATATTTTGTTATATTCTATTTAAATGTCATTTAAAATATAATTTAGTCTTGTGATGCAAAGCTGAATTTTCAGCATCATTACTCCAGTCTTCAGTGTCACATGATCCTTCAGAAATCATTTGTGGATTTGAAATATTTCTTATTATCATTATCAATGTTGAAAACAGTTGTGCTGCTTAATATTTTTGTAACAAACCATGATACTTTTTTAGTATTCTTTGATAAATATAACGTTCCTTTATAACATTATAAATGTCTTTACTGTCACTTTTGATCACTTTTGATCAATGTGTCCTTGCTAAATAAAAGTATTCTTTTATATATAAATGTTTGGGGTCAATAATTTATGTTGCTTTTTTATTTTATTTTAGAAAGACTTAAAATTATTAACGAAATTATAGAATCTGAAAAACAAAAAGGTAAAGAATTTGAAATTTGTGGACTATAATGCTGGTTAAATACATTTCTGAATGAACAATAAAACGATTTACAACATTATCATTAAATAATGCAAAAAAGTCACATCAGATATACAAAAGAACTCTAATGATCTCTTACTGCAGGGCTCTGTGCAATACTTGATGACACTAATTGAACACTGACCCAGGCAACTTCGTACATAGCTGTGCTAGTTTCATATTGTCTGTATCGCTCCAAACTATCTTTCTTCTCACATAAAATAAGGTCCAATCAATATTTAATGTCCATTCACCTTTTATTCAGTAAACAGCCGTGTAATTTGGATAAGAGGATAATTCACTTTCAGCCAATCATTACCACAAAATAAACCCATTTGGGTTTACATTTTTGATAATTGCCAGAATTACAGTGTAAAATGACAAGAGGGAGATTTTGAGCGGGAAAGGCAAACCTGTCCTGTGGGCTATAATTCACAATCAGACAGAATACATTTAAACAATGATATCAGATACACCAAGAATTCTAATGATCTAATAAATCAGATACATGATAATTGGCAGAGTTTCAGTTTAAAAACATAAGCGGATGAGTGAGAGACAGAGAGAGGCTGTTGAACTGCTATATTGATTTCAAGCAAATATTGCCTTCACAGTCCACAGCAAACCATCAGCTACCAACACTATCTGACAAAGTTTGATGTGTTTGATGAATCCATGCAATCCAGTGCTAAAAGCACTGAAAGAATACTATAACTGCACATATACCGTATGCAAATGCAAGTTAATACATGCAAATACATGACACTATCAGCTGGCGTCATGCATTCTTAGTGAATTCCCCCCTCAGCATGCAACCAAATGCAGGCAAACAAAAAACAAACAAATAAAGAAAGCAAGAAAGCCTGACATGTAATCAGCACAGAGTAAAACAGTTATGGATTCACCACAGGGATCCCCTCCCTCCCATCATTGTGATGTCATCGTGCTAGAGCACCGCGATTGGCTGGATCAACGTCACTGACTCCTGCTCTCATTTGCTCACATGCCCTCGTCTTTATCTCTGTGGGCCAAAATCTGATTGACCCCATGCCATTGTTCCACTTTATTATGCCGTCCATCTCAAACTCATTCGCTCCCATGACACGTTTTCCCTCAGTCTCTGTCTCATTCCTTTGTTATCCTGTTTCTCATTCACTCTCTCTCTCCCTGTACAGTATTAACTGACTATTTCCTTCAATTTGTCTTGTTCGGCAGCATAATTGCGTGTCAGAGTCTTTCTTGCATTAACACTCATGGGCATATTGTTTTTTAAACTGTCATTTTCCAGTGTGAACACACACAGAGCTGGGCTGTATGCCGTGCCACCTCTGTGGGAGGTTAAATTAGCAGACAGACAGGAAGTAGATGTAAAAACAGATGAAAGTTTTATAGTGTGCCGCTAATGCTTAAAATCACTTCTGCTTGAACCACTAGTCAACTTTAAAGACCTTCTGGGTTCTCAATATGCTAGTGCAATAAAAAAAAAAAGGCAGCTATGTATTTTCATGTTGTATACTACCTGAGACAAACAGTAAATATAATATTATAAAGGCAATACGCAATTTGCAAAATTAAAAGATTTATTTTGGTCACTGTATTCAAGCATTTTTTATTATTATTACCTGGAAAATATTTCAATATTGTTTGGATAGTATATTTTATAATAGACTACATATTATTCTTCTTGCACAGAATATTGTGTTATAGTGAGCGAGCTAAAGGTGACAGAGGCAAGGAAAAAATCCTTACAAAACTAAACAAAAAACACAAAGCAAACTCATTAATGAACCTATCAGCAAGGAACTAAACTAAACTAAACTAATCAAAACAATAAAAACCAAAACAGACTGATTAATAAGTTTATGCATGCTGCAAGGATCAAAACTAAACATAAAAAACCAAGACAAACTTTTATTAATGAGTTTATGCATGCTGCAAGGAGCAAACAAAACAAAGAAAAAACATGCATGCATACATACATGAATGAATGAATGAATAAATAAATAAATAAATACACAAACACACTATTAAGCAATAAAGGATTTACACTGACAGAGAAAAGAAAACTATACATATCAAGTCATTTCAAGCGGTTAAAAAAAGCCACGAAAAGCTCTTATGTCCATTGAAAGCTCAAGGCAGTAAGTAGTAGCTGCTTATATCACTGCTGGAATCAGCTTTAATCTGCAACGAGAGAGCAGTCAAGATGATTTAACATGCGGTACACAGTGTCTTGAGCTTCTGCTAACATGAACCAACCAACGGCAACATGCATAATGTAGCTTTCACTGCTTGTATGATGGCACTTAGAATATTACATTTAAAAACGTATATAGTCATATATATGTTATGAAAGCCTAGTAGCATCCTACGTGCAGGCTGAGTTTGATTCTGTTTCAGGCCATTTCCCAATGTCATTCCCCGTTTTTCCCAGCCCATCTCATTACAGAAAGTCTTCATAAATAATGACTAAAAATAACATCTGCTATATGACTTTGAGCAGACATTTCTCAGCAACTGGCAACAGCTCAAAGACAGATTTAACAGGACAACAGGCCTGCACACATACAGTAAGACAAGCCTGGCAGAACCCAGCTTCAGTATTTCAAATAAACAGCCTTTTTTCTCTATAAAAGACACCTCAAAAGGAACAACTTTCTGAGAAAACAGCAACAAAACCAAAAAGCCCCCACTGATATCATGAGAGACTCAAAATTTGAGGAAGTTGAGGCAAATCCGCCTGTGATCTGTCGGGCTTGTGCGAGGAGAATGAGAAACCTCTGGTGACTGTGGTGAACCTCAGTCACCACAGCGGATGTTCACATCATACGACTGCCAGCTACCCACAACCCACATAACACTCTCAACTGAGCATATGATTAACATTACATAAATGTTAGGCTGCTATTATTTATTGTACATTTGGTCACACTTTATTTTAAGGTCCGTTTCTCGCTATTAAAGGGGTCATAGGATGCCCATTTTCAGTTGATATGATTCTTTAGGGTTTTAATGAAAAGTCTGTAACATAGTTTGGTTAAAATTTCTCAAAAACACCTTTTTTCCCCTGTCAAAAACAGCTCTTTTCAGAGCAAGCCGTTTTTGTAGCATTGTCCTTTAAATGTTAATGAGCTCTGTGTCAGTACGTCATAAATAGAACAAGGCATCAGTTTAATGTCGGCTTTTGTCGTGCCGCGCCGCATCTAGTGTAGACAGTGTCACTGGTTATAATGGTTTCTACTGTATTTTGCCGCTCGCGTCCGGTGTAGACACTGTGTTTAATGTCATTGGTGAGGAGGAAAGCCTGTGTGTGTCCTATGCCTTAGCGAACAGCATGAAACCCACAAAAAATAAATAAATAACAGAGAGAGAATAATAATAAGTTATTCTCTCTATGCTATTTTTCAATGTTTCAAGTGATGCAGGTGTTTTTTTCCCTGTAGGTTTTTTAAATAAAAAAAA